CGCGAGGAGCCGAGGCGGGACCCGCGCTGCCGGGCTCGTCCTCCCCTCCGTCACGCGGGGCTCTCGGGCGGTAGCGCCTCTGGTTTTAACACGGGCGTCAGCGTCCCCATCTGTTAACCCGTAACGTGCGCAACACGGGAAGGCAGCACAAAGGCGGTGGTTCTGTATTTCATCTTTACTTGAAGTTTCGAAAGTTTAAAAAGTTACACAGTTATAAACAAGCGCTTTCCCCGTTCAGCTCTTTCAGACGAAATTAACATAGGAAGTATGCACATCTTTGTTAAAGAACAGGACTCCGTATCTTACAATGGTGATCAACAGGTAAAATAAAATTTATTTCCAAGTTCATATTAAACACTCATACCAAGACAAACATGAAAGTTGGGGTTGTTTGTTTTTTTTTTTTTTTTAAGTATTGCACCACCAAGGCAAATTTTTATCTATTGCCTAGTGAGTTATATCACACATGGACAATCGAGTTCATCCCCGTTTTCGGAAAAACTACAATACAAAGGCAAGGCCATTCCGTGTGCTCTGGCGGGAGCGAGCTTGGGAATACCGAGGAACCGACCTGTGCACTCGCACAAGCTGCCCCCGTGCAACCCCAGCAGCTTTCCTGGTGAAGTTTTGTTTCACAGCCTATTGGCAGACACCAGTGCAACGCTATAAAAGGTCTGCAAGACAGGACGTGGAGAAAGCTGTTCCGACAGCAAGCTGTGCAAAGCCTAGGCAGTCACACAACAGACAGCCATTTCTGTTCAACCAGGCTGTCAGTCCCCCACCCACCCACCCCCTACAAAAATCTCAGTTCGATCAGAAAACTTCTGGCCATCAAAACTGATTTATCACACCAATAAAATCTACCTTGTTTATAACCAGACAGTATGCTTCTGCCAGAAACTTCTTTTAACCTCCAGCTACCAAGACAACAGAAAAACCAGGGTTGTCTCAATGCACAAGAGGGCCAAAAGAGTATACAGAAATGGAAAGCTATCTGCACCTTGACACCTTGCACTTGTGGTCAGCATACAGGAAGCAAATACCATTCACAAATATTTAGTTTGACATACACCAGGAGTGATCCCAAACCAACTCCAGGTGAGGAATTGCTATAATTAAAAAACCTGTGCGTTTGCTGTATTTGTACAAGTGCAGTATTTAACGACTTCAAAACGAAAGGGTAACAAAAATGAACACATGGATTTATTCACTACATCAGAACCAATTCTTACAAGACTGAAAACAGGACTTAAAAGTAGCATTTGCAGCTGGTCCCTCACGTTGACATCTCAGTCTCGGGAGTTTAAACCCAAAGCTTTAGCTAAGGAAAATCTTCCACTCTTGAGATACAGCAACACGACTTTGCATTACAGGGACCGTGTGTGACACTTGAGGATACAGAACTGAAGCTGTAACTTGTACCTACGTACTGGACAGACCACAGAGTCGCCCAGTTCAAAACACAGTGACAGCAGTTCCAGGGCTTAAAGCAGCTTTACATTTCTGCAGATTCCGTACATGTTCATAACAGGTGAGTTTCTGGACTGAAGCCAGTTGGCCTGGATTAAACTGCTCTTGTATCTGTAGCTAGCAGTTCTCCGTGGATGAAATCTCAGTCACTGGCAAGAATCCCCATCAGTTTTTAAAAGTCCAGGTTTCACCTCTCATAGCAATGCCTCGATTTCCAGTCCCTCCCTGGGAGAGCAAGCTTTGAAACCGAGTAGGTCATAAAGTTTATTCTGAAGATAACATTAGTTCTTGAATGCAAAACTAAACATTTTATGACACAGTTTACTAGTTATGTCTGTTAGTGACAGATGAAAATGGAACTGTGACTAATTATATCCAATTTACAAGAGACTAAATGTTTTTGTGCAAGTACTAGCTGTGATTTTAACACACAAAGTTCAACTTTCTTCCTGAAACGCTGCAAAAACTGTAAGTGTAGAGGGATTTATGTTACTGGTAATTGCAATCTACTGTTGAAAACTCTTTGAACATTAGCATTTAAGTAGTCATAATCAGTTTTCAATGTTCAACTGAAAAATTGGACTCTAATTTCACCATTAAACAGCAAAGTTGGCTATAAAGGTGGCCTAGGAAAACACAACCTATATATGTAGTTTCTACTGCAAAGCAAATTCTATAGACTATACGCTAAGATAACATGTGATACACAGCTGTATCGAAGTATTAACATGTATTTTTAAAAATCCAACAATTTCAGGTTCTGGAATAGCATGCAACAGCCCATGGGCTGTGCGCGTAATGACACGCACATGTTTCTAGGGAAAAGGATTCTCAGCCTGCAGCAGCAGTGGGGAGCTGTGGCACTGCTACCACACAAAGGTACATGCACAGATCAGGAGCTTGCTGACATTTCTCCTTCACAGAGCAACATTTTGGTCTAGCCCATGGGGTGCCAAGTCTTCTCAACACCGAGTCTCTCGCCATGGCTGCGGCCTCCATTACTCACAGCCCACAGAATTTCACCCTTAGTGCATTACAGAGCGCCTCCATGCATCTCCAGCTGGCAGGATTTGCACGCATTTAATCAAATTCATCAGTTCTTAAAAGCAGTATATCGTAACACATTAAACTATTCTTTATCATTTACTGTCAAATGAGGGGGAAGAAACACAGCAGTTTTAACACACTACTGTTAGAAAATGTTGATAGTTCTAACCGAGGCACAACTGTAGATGGCGACCCACAAGCCGCTTAGGTCACTGAATTAGGAAATGTACATTTACTTCAGATGCGTGTATTACCTGTGAAAAAATCACGAAGGTCCATCTAACTTAAATGTTATATGCAGCCTAATGTGCACTCCATGTAAAATGTTACGAACACTGCCCCAAGGGCATGTGATTTCCTGTACCTGCATTATGCTACTGGGCAGCAGACAATCAGAATTCACTCCAGCTTCAAAATAGCATGTTAACTGCCCATAATCATTGCAATCCCTGTGCAAACTGCATTCTGTGGCTATGTTTTCAGCGCCTTAGTTAATTTAACTTGATTATAATTGGAAGCATCTGACTATGATTTAGGCATGCTTATTGCTATAAAAGAAATAAGCTCATCTTCAAAGTTATTGTGCAAGTATTTTAATAAGATTTGCACACATCTCAAAAAATTCTATTGTATGACTCCCTGGTCTCGGAGTTAAGTCAGCTGTAGAAGACTCAAGCGAAGAGCTCACTGATGAGGTAAGGGATGTATCTGCAGATTTTCCTTGTACATCAGCATCTGAATCTTTCTGACAGGATCTGTAGTTACTCACAGAACCTGATCTCTGTGGAGTTGCAGTCCCAGACTTCGCTTCAGTAATTTCATCTGGAGGGCAAGGGGAGAGAGGAGGAAAATAAGTTATCGGCATCAAATCAGTTACAGGAACAGCAAACATCCTCCCCCTCTCAAATTTCCAGAATATATAAACAGCTTTTGCAAACTGTATATATTTGAGACAAAATAAAAGCTTATACATACGGTAAGACAGAAGTGTCATGTGAATTACTCCTGTATTCTGAACTGTGCTCCAGAACTGTTTACATCTAGTTTAGACCAGCACTTGCCTTATTTTTCATGTACTAATTTCAGCAGCTAATAGTTCAATTTACACTACTTAAAATAAAAAACAGGATAGCCTCATAACGTAAAGTCCAGTAACAGTTCAAACATTTTGTAGATGCTTTTTGCTAGCATCTACTTTATTCTATTTTTGTTTTCTTTACATTTGGTTATTTATACTTTGTCATTTGTATTTTTATTATAATTCATTGATACATTAATTGCTAGCATCTACATTAAATTATCCTTCACTTTTGGAAGTTTTTTCCCGATAGTATGTTGCTCATTTGGCTGCAGCAGCTTAAGCTTACCTTCAGTATGAGAAGGAAATACTTCCATCTTAGAAGTAATGTTCTGCTGAAGTATCTCTATTTTTACTTTAAATACTGAACATTAGTTTGACTCTCGCCTGGCACCAGAAAAGCTATTTCCAGGCAGAAACTACTGAACTCAGGAAAGCCTGTCTTCTCACATCAAAGCTACTTTAAACTACAGTTTGGCAAGAGGAACAGAGAACAGTTAACTGTGGTGGAGAGAAAGGAAGTCAAAGCAGCTTCACTGTTGGAAGACAGATGGCAAACCCATGCCCTTGGGTTGTATTTCCTCAAGAGCTAAAGCCAGGAGTGCAGCAGGCTGCCCTCCCCCAGCAGCAGGGCTCTAAGCAGTCATCTCCCCTCCAACAGGGATGGCGTTTGTCCTATACTGCAGCAGGTCAGTACAGAAAAGTGACTGTTGCCGTGTTAGCAAGTACCACTGGATCTAACCAAGCACCTGTATTATCAGTCAGATCAGATTAACCTGTCATGAGACACAGCCTTAGCCAACCTATACTGTAAACCAGCTGCACTCCAGTAAATCCTTTATTCCTAGGTATGTCATCTACACCACCAGCTGTAGGTAATTCTGCTTTAGTCTACTATGTCCATAAACAAGCATTGTGGCCAGTCTCTATTAGCTTCTCCATTCGTTTTCAGGAAGCTATCCAACTGGGATTTGCATGCTGTGTTACTGTCACTCTATAAAATTTATCTTTCTACAGGTTAGAACAACAGCTTTCAAGACTTCAGTTATTGTAAGCATACGACTCCCATCTCAAATTTAGTCTGCTGCTAGCACTGGTGGGTTGACTGCCTGGCAGCTAACATCTCAGCACAATGGGAGAGAAAATTGGAAGGGCAAGTAAGAAAATAAAAACACTCATGGGTAGAAATAAACATAGTTTAAAAAGAGGAAGAAAGAAAAAACTGATGTAACAGCAATCACCCACCACCTCTCCAAAGCAGATCAACACCCAGCCAGTCTCAAGGCTACCTTCCCCACTTCCCCATCCCCTCAATTTCTCTGCTAAGCCTAACACTATATCACATGGAATACCCCTTTGGTCAGTCTGGCTCAGCTCTCCAGGTTGCATCCCCTCCCAAATTCTTGCTCACTCCTGGCCTACCCATTGAGTGTGACAAAGTGGGGAAAAAGAAAGACTAGATACTACGCAAGTACTGCTCAGCAACAGCCAGAACACTGGTGTGTTATCAACACTGTTTTAGTCATACATCCAAAAACGCAGCACCATACACGCTGCTATGAAAAAAATGAACTAATCTCAGCCAGACCCAGTACAGCAATGTACAGCCTAAGTCAAATTTAAATGTCTAGATGTCAATCTTTATCTTTACTAGGAAATGTTATTCATGTGCTTACTTCAGATCTCAATTACTGTTTAAATTTGGGGGTGACGCTCCAAGAGCAGTTTAGGTTGATCTAAGTCTCACCTCTCACAGCCCTGTCCCCTTTTGCACTAGTGGTATTAGTGCTGCTGCAGACACAAAATGGAGTTCAGGAGTTAACAGCTAATAATAGATTATTTAAGAGATGAAGCAGCTAACCATCTGATCACAGAACACTAGAACAGGGAGGAATAATGAAACGCTATTAATTTAAGACAGTCTAGATCTGTATTAAAGGTCAACGCTAACTTCACTTCTAAACAAGTAAATTCAAACATGTTTGTGTTTAGAATGATTTCCCGTACAACTTCATTAACTTATGTAAGTCTTCACATACCATCAATGCTACGAAAGTCCAGTAAATATGTCCTGCTGTCCACCTGATACAACTGTAGACTCATTTTGGAATATGCACTTGTTACTGGATTCTTCCTTCGAACACGTAGATAGTATGGATTCACAACCTAGTACAAAAAAAGGTAAGTTAATTACCAGAGCTGCCTGAATAGCACTGCATTGTTTTTGTCATTGCAACTCAGTCAATTATTAACTTGTTCATCAGTGACCTGGATGAAGAGTTAGAATGTACCCTCAGCAAATTTGCTGATGACACCAAACTGGGAGGTGTGGTGGATACACCAGAAGGCTGTGCTGCCATTCAGTGTGACCTGGATAGGCTGGAAAGTTGGGCAGAAGAGAGGAACCTGATGAGGTTCAACAACGGCAAGTGCAGGGTCCTGCACCTGGGGAGGAACAACCCCATGCACCAGTACAGGCTTGGGGTGGACCTGCTGGAGAGCAGCTCTGTGGAGAGGGACCTGGGTGTCCTGGTGGACGACAGGTTAACCATGAGCCAACAGTGTGCCCTGGCTGCCAAGAAGGCCAATGGGATCCTGG